GTGACTCCAGAAACTTCTCTGAGCCTCCTTTCTCTCTATGGTGTAGAACGGTGTCTACCTCAGTCATATGGTGGGGATCCGGGCAAAGAGCATCAACCATGCATCATAATGTTAAGTATTGGTATCAGGTAGGTTCTGAATATCTTAAAGATTTATTTATTTATTTATTTATTTATTTTTGGAGCTGAGGACTGAATTCAGGGCCTTGTGCTTGCTAGGCAAGCACTCTACCACTGAGCTAAATCTCCAACCCTAAGATGATTTATTTTTATTTTATGTGAATGAGTGTTTACTTGTATGTATGTATCTGTTCCATGTATGTGCCTGGTGACTGTGGAGACCAGACGAGGGCATCAGATCCCCTGGAACTAGAGATTGTGAGCTGCCATGTGGATGCTGGGACCCGAATCTGGGTCCTCTGCAAGAGCAGAAAGTGCTCTTAGCCACTGAGCCATCTCTCCAACCCCAGGTTCTAACATCTTATGAATCTCGTGTTTTGTCTCAAACATTAGACTAGCTGCTGCACAGGGGAAACTCTCCTCCAGGTTGCTCCTAAGAACCTGCAAGTCATGTTATAAGCATGCTCTCATCTTACATGCTCCATGGCCTTGTCAAATAGGTTCTATGATCCTATTTTACAGATGAGATTCCTAGAGGTTCAGTAACGTGTGATATCACATAGCTGGAAGATGCTGGTGCCTAGATTCAAACCCATCTCTAGTTTCTAAGCCCGACTTCTTTCCCCTGGTAAGAGTGTACAGCACCCCACACCTGCCACCACCTAATAGAAGGCACAAGGCACTCAGGAACCAAGGACTCATTGGAACAGTTGCTTCTTATGTCTTTGGTGTGACAGAGACAGTGTTTCCCTCACTCAGAGCTGGGAACTGCCCTCTTCTGTCACAGAACAGTTCCTATCCTATCCTAGGCCATGAAAATCACTTCTGTTCTGGGACACCTGGCTTAGCCTCAACTACCGCAGACTTAAAAAAACAAAACAAAACAAAACAAAACGTTTTTGGGGCCAGAGAGATGGCTCAGTGGTTAAGAGCACTGGCTGCTCTTGCAGAGGACCCAGGTTCAATTCCCAGCACCCACATGGTGGCTAACAACCATCCCTAACTCCAGTTCCAGGGGATCCGACGCCCTCTTTTGACCTCCTTGAGCATTGCACTACATGGGGACACTTACATACATGTAGACAATACACTCAAACATGTAAAATAATAAGTATTTTTAAAACTTACAAAATTACAAATATTTATTTTATGGGTCTCTATGTGTGTGTGTCTATATGTATCCACATGCATGTGCCATAGCATGTGTGTGGAGGTCAGAGGACAACTTTTCGAAGTTGGTTCTCTCCTTCCACCACCCGTCCTTCTAGGTCCCAGAGATTGAACTTGGGTTGTCAGGATCAGTAGGAAGAACCTTTACCCCCCTGAGCCATCTCTTAGGAGAGATAACCTAGCCACTGACCTAGCCTTAGCCGTCTCCACAGACCAACACGTGCCTTGCATATGGCCTGCCTCCCACACAGCTATTACTGTCAGAACCAACACTAGGCAGAGGAGCAGAGAAACACAGCATGTCCACATGCCTGGCCAGAGTTCTGACCCTAACTAGACACATCAACAGTCAAAATGGAAGAATCAGAGTCTGTCAGGTCCACCCAGATCAAAATAGAAACCCACTTCAGAAGCAAATGGGGAAATGGTCCCTGGGTAGGGGACCTTGTACAGCATGCGTGCAATAGGGCCCCATGGACCAAGCTTCCTGAGAATTGTAACTGGCCCCAGGTCATCTGCCCAAACAGGCACCTATCACCACTCAGCCAACTCACCTCTTCCCCAGGGAAGCAGGAAAGTCCCAAATCTAAGACAACATCCCAAGTGGCCCAAATTGAACTTGAACTCACTATGTAGCTGAGTATGTCCTTGAACTCCTGATCCTCCTGCCTCAACCTCCCAAATGCTGGGATTATAGGTATATGCCACTATTCCTGGCATTATTAATTAATTTATTTAAGTAATTTTTGGTGTAGTTTTTGAGATCTCACTCCATAGTCCAGGCTGGTCTGGAACTCACTAAGGAGCCCAGTCTGGCTTTGTTTTCCTAATCAATCTGCCTAAGCTGGAAATGATGCCTTGACTTCTCTGAGCTTCAATGTCTTCCACTGGGAAGGGAGGGACCCTCATTCTAGCTGCTTGTACTTCATAAGAAACACCTGCCGCTTCCCAGGTGCTCAGTAAACGACAGCCATGTGCTATTGCTTAATTTGTACTTTCTTATTTTTCTCAAGTATATGCACGGATGGTGAATGCATGTTTATATGTGTGTGAACATGTGTGTGCAGGTACATGTGCATGCATGCACAAGTGTGCAAAGACCTCAGGTTTGGTGTTGATAGTCTTCCTAATTGCTCTCCACCGTGCTCATTGAGACAGGGTCTCCCATTTGAGCTCAGAGCTTGCCAATATGACATTTGCCTAGCCAGCTTGCCCTAGAAATCCAGGGATCTGGTTGGGTTCTGCTGGAATTCCGGGTGGACTACCATACCTGCTCAACACTTGCATGGATTCTGGGGCTCTGAACTCCAGTCCTCACGCTTGCTTGGCAAGTGACTTAACCACTGAGCAATCTCCCTAGACTCATACTTTCCACTCAGTATTGAAGAAGTAATTTGCTTATTTGCTCTTTCATTCATGTGTTCACTCAGCCAAACAGCCAGTGTGCTAGCTAGGCTGAGGAGCCAAGTTTTGGAGTTGGGAGTTGAAATCCCTGTATTGCCATTAGCAAGCTGGATTCTCTGGACCCTGAGAAGGGCATTTCCCCTCACAGACCTTCATTTTCTTGTTTTTAAAATGGGAATGATAATAGCACCTCTGGAGGACACTGGAGTGTCACAGTCAATGGGACAATGAGGTAAAAGCAGCCAAATCTGAGCCTCAGGGGCAGAGGTGAGCCTCACAGGGGAGCCATGTGGACTCCTGGCCTTGCAGGGACCTCTCAGTGGGTCTCTAAGGAACAGTCACAGATTAAGGCAAAGGGACAGACTAGAGATAATCTTTAGTGTTAGTTTCTGGCCAGTGACCCCTTTCTTCTTGGTAAACTAACAAATAGTGAAGAAATAGTTTTTAAAAGATGTTTCTTTTTTAGACAGGGTCTCATTTATCAAGGTTGGCCTCAAACTTGCTATGTAGCCAAGGATGATCTTGAACTCTGTTAATTTTGCTTCTATTTCCTGAGTGCTGGGGTGATAGGCATGCACTAGTACACCCAGTATTATGTGGTACTAAGGATCAAACCCAGGAACTGAATCACATCCTCAGCCAAAGAGAGAGTCTCAGGCCATTTAAAGACACTCCCACTGTGATTTAGAGAGATGGCTCAGTTAAGAGCACTGGTTGTCTTCAGAGGATGGTGTGATAAGAATAGGAGGTAGGAATTGGCTAGGCAGTTAGAGTAAAAAGACCCCAAAGAAATATAGCCAGTTTCTTGGCTAAAAGTCAAAATGTCGTTGGGGCCTCTTAGTAACATACTCTGTTCCAAAGGCCCAAAATGTCAAAAGTATTTGGGAGCTCTTATCTAATGCCTAAAAGATTTTAGGGTTACCTCTTCAGAGGGGGAATGTTAGAGTAGCAAAAAGGCCCATAAAAATAAAGAGAGTACAAGAGGTTGTCAGGAAAAACTGATGGGGAGATGTGGGAGGAGTTGGAGGGGAGAGAGTGGGTGTGGATTTGATCAAAACAACTTATATGCATGTATGAATATTTTTTTAATTAAAAAAAGACCACTGGTTGTTTTTCCAGAAGACCCAGGTACAGTTCCCAGCACCTACATGGCACCTAATAGTTATCTGTAATTCTAGTTCCAGGGGATCTAACGCCCTCTTCTGGTGTCTAAGGGTTTACGGCACACATGTGGTGCACTTACATACATGCAGACAAAACATTCATACACATAAAATAGAAAGAAAGAAAGAAAAAAGAAACACAGTCCCATTGGCAGACCTGGAGAGCATGCACAGACACACATGCTGCACACGTGCTCACAAACTAGCTTTGCACACATGTGCAGACACACCATCAAAGACACAGGCACTTGGTACATACCTGTGATCTCAGCACACAGGAAGCTGAGGCAGGTTCAAAGTTAGCCTGGGCTACATAGTGAGACTATCTCAAAAAGGAAAAAGCATAGCAAAGCACTTTCCAGTTTGTAAGACTTTCATTTTTCATTTCATTTGAAACTCATTTGGGATAGAGAAACAGTCCTGGGTCAAGTAGCCAGTCTAGTACTGGCAAGAGATTTGGATCCCATACCCTCAGAAGGCCAAGACTGAAGCAGGGCCTGCCTTCCCTGTATCCGGGTCAGCAACAAAAGTTCCGAGAAAGGTTTAATCCCATTCCCTAGGTACATTCACTCACCCTGCTTCTCTCTCCCTTGACAAGTCATACCTGAACTCAGAATCAGTTTTCCCAGTGGTCACATGGGGTCAGCTCCAAGCTGGTCTGGGTTGTGTCCTTTGTGCTTGCTTCCACAAAGGCTCCTAAGCAACTCTGAGAGCTCTGCCTAGCCTCCTCCCCAGGAATATGCTCTAGCACGTGACACAGAACAGTTTTTAAATACTCAGCTACCCCATTTCACAGAGTAAGAAATCAAGACCCAGAGGAGAAAAATGATCTTGTGACATTCAGGATTCAAACTCAGACCTAGGCAACTCCAAATCCTGTCTCACTGTTCTATTCCTCCTCCTGTCACGGTCAGGTCCCCGAGTCACCACCTCCTCCCTCCTGTTCTATGTGCCACACCCCTCCGTGTTGTACAGCCTGAAGGCTCTAGGCACAATCAGGTGGAGGAAGAAAAGAGGAAGGGAGGAAGCCCCCACACCCCACACCTGTACCAGCTTGCTGTGCCCAGCCCAGTACTGCTACAGTGAAGTGGATGGACGTACCCCTGAGGAGGGAAGAGCCCAACCCCTGACCTGGAAAACTCACCCCAGTAGGCAATCTCCTGCTACATTGAAAGCCAAGTGAACAGGACTCCTGGAGCAGCCACCAGGAAGTTCCTGTGCCCTGCAGACTGTTGAGTGCAGGAGTCAGGGAGGTGGCAGATGAGGAAAAACCATGAGAGCCAGAAGAGGAAGTGACAGTGTCGCCCAGAGCTCTGAGCTGTAGGGCCGGGACTCAGTCTTGAGAACTTTCTTGCTCAAGTGTCTGGCACCAAGGCTGACTCAGTCATTGCCCAGCTGGGAGTAAGTCACCTCCCTCTCTGAGTGTGCTCACCCAAAGAATGGGTATTCTTAGACCATCAGTTTAACCCAAGGGCTGCTGGGAAGATGGAAGGAGGGTGCACCCAAGGTCCAGGGCTGGGCATAGGGAGACTCCTTGCCATCCACACCAGCCCTCTCCTGGCCTCTCTCAAGCTTTGACAGAGCCCAGCTCTTGTTCATTGCTGCCACAGGGAATTACTCTGGTTTCTCAGCAGTGCCTGGAATGCCCATCAAGAGAGACTCAGACCCCGAGATGAACAAATGAATCTGTTGTCTGTGGCTCCAATTATATGGGTCCAGACAGAACTCCCCAGGGACTGAGGATGAATCCTCAAATGGAGGGTGACTTGGGGGAAGGGTGGCACCTAGGTGAACTTCCCCAGTCTCAATCCACCCTGGAGCTTGGGCAGGACCATGAGAAGGCAGTGGTGGCTCTGCCTGGGTCCTTGACTAGCCTGGGCAGCCCTTCCCAGTCATTCAGATTATTCCTTCTCTTCTTTATTGACAACTATGTACTAGGTACCTGCCTGTGGGGAGCTGCCTGCCGTCCCTGCAGACGCCATTACAAGATGGCGCTCACATCCGGTTCATGCTGAGCAGTAAATAAGTCAGTACGCATGCCCGAAGTAATTTTCCACCTTCTAGTCTCTGCCTACCTCGTGGCGTGACATGGGCTGATGAGTTTGCGACCAATCAAGAGTTGCCACGTCCAAGACGGGCTTACTAACCTATATAAGGGCTGGGTGTCCGACATTCGGGGTCTTCGCCCTGTAAGCTTATGCTCTCCCTCTCAAGATGCATTAAAGCTTTTCTGCAGAAGGATCCTGAGTGTGCCGCATCATTCTTGCTGGCGAGACGATAGCGCGGGACAACTGGTGCCGAAACCCGGGAATTCGACCAAACCATCGTCAGCACCATCGGAGACCCCTTGAGTTCAAGGAGGATTCAGAACTGCAGGTAAGGACGTTCAGAGAGGTATGTTTTTTCTGGACTTTGGCTTGAACCTGTTTCCGCCTTGGAAAGGTAGCTTTGAGGCCTTGGTTATCATTCTGGGAGCACTTATAGTTTTGTTGTATAAAACATGCCAGGCCGTTGTGGCGGAAAGTCGAAATGTTCTTGAGGAAGTCCAGGATAGCATGTCAGAAACTGAACGCAGTGAGAGGTTAGGTGCACGAAAAAAGAAACGGGCCCCAAATAAGGAAAATGGCCCTCCCGGAAGGTCTGTTGACAAGGGAGCGTATTTTAAAGAGCCTAGAGATTCTTTGCCTGTCGAGAGGCCGGACAAAGGGACTAGTATATACCCCGTCCGAGAACTAAAGGCTCTGCAATTAAGTAGTTCAGGAAGCCCCGGGAGCTCTGAGGACGAGAGCCTTGACCCGGAGGAGGAGGCGGAGCTAGATGAGGAAGTAGCGAAGTATGAGGAAGAAAGATATCATCCAGTCCTCCCTTTACCTGTCAACCTATGGGGACGGGATGTTATGCACGACCTCGGGCTTACTCTGTCCAATGAATATTCACCACAAGCAATCCAAATTATGAAGAAAATGGGGTATGAGAGAGGAAAAGGGCTGGGGTGTTGTGAACAGGGGTGTACAGAACCCATAGCACCCAACCCAAATCAAGGCAGACAAGGCCTGGGTTTTTCCTAGGTGCCACTGAGGCAGTACGGCCCATACCATGGAAAACGGAGGCTCCGGTGTGGGTTCCTCAGTGGCCTTTGACCTCCGAAAAATTGGCTGCAGTAACTGATCTGGTCACTGAGCAGCTGGCTTTGGGGCATATAGAGCCATCTACCTCCCCTTGGAATACCCCGATTTTTGTGATAAAAAAGAAATCTGGAAAATGGAGGTTATTACATGACCTAAGAGCTATTAATGAGCAAATGTATCCCCTTGGGGCAGTGCAGCGGGGACTTCCGGTCCTCTCTGCTCTGCCTAAGGATTGGAACTTAATCATTATAGATATAAAGGACTGCTTCTTTTCTATCCCCCTGCATGTCTCTGACAGGCAGCGCTTTGCTTTTACCATCCCTTCAATTAATCATATGGAGCCAGATAAGAGATTTCAATGGAGAGTGCTGCCTCAAGGGATGGCCAACAGTCCCACCATATGTCAACTGTATGTACAGGAGGCTCTAAAGCCTATTAGAGAAAAATTTCCTGCGATAACTATTATTCATTACATGGATGATGTGCTCATGTGTCATCAAGAGCGAGAGACCCTTGAAAAAGCTTACCCACAGCTGGTGAAAGCTTTGCAATACTGGGGACTTCAAGTCGCCACTGAAAAGGTCCAGTTTTCTGATACAGGCCAATTCCTGGGCACTGTTATTCTCCCTGATGTGATTCGTCCACAAAAGATAAAAATTTATAGAAAAGATTTGTGCACTTTAAATGATTTCCAAAAATTATTGGGAGATATTAATTGGCTTCGCCCATTTCTCAAAATTCCCACAGCGGATTTAAAACCTCTTTTTGACATTTTGGAGGGGGACACCCATATTACTTCCCCTCGATCCTTGACCCCTGCTGCGGAAACAGCACTCCTCCTAGTAGAGGAGGCAATAGAGAAAGCACAGTTACGTCGCATTAACAGCTCTCAACCTTTTTGTCTCTATGTTTTTAAAACAAGAAAGCTGCCCACTGCGGTTTTATGGCAGGAAGGACCCCTGTTATGGGTTCACCCGAACGCTTCCCCCCAAAAAATAATTGACTGGTACCCCACGGCTATAGCTCAACTTGCACTTAAAGGCTTAAAATTGGCTATAGAACACTTTGGCAAGCACCCTACATCTATCTTGGTCCCCTATAATTCCTCTCAGGTGCAAACATTAGCTGCCACCTCAAATGACTGGGCCATACTAGTTACCACCTTCTCGGGGAGAATTGATAATCACTATCCAAGGCATCCTTTGCTGCAGTTTGCAGCCCTCCATCCTGTAGTCTTTCCCCGAGTTACATCTCCCATTCCACTGAAAGAGGGATTGATGATATATACAGATGGCTCCAAGAATGGGAAGGGGGCATATGTCATGGGTTCCAAGGTGTTCTCACGACAATATGCAGAAACCTCTCCTCAAATAGTAGAATGTCTGGTTGTGTTGGAGGTTCTTCAAAAGTTTTCAGGTCCTCTTAATATTATTTCTGACTCATCCTATGTAGTTAATGCAGTTGCTGTGCTAGAGACAGCTGGTGTTATAAAACCAACCAGCAGGGTGGCTGCCCTTTTTCAGAAAATACAAGATTGTTTATTTAAGAGGAGTACACCCTTTTATATTACACATATTAGGACCCATTCGGGCCTCCCTGGACCAATGGCCCTTGGCAATGATTTAGC